CGATGTACATAGTATTGGGAGATGGAAGAAGAACGTAACGGGCGGCGATAAATTTCCGTGAGGATAATTCAAAATCGCTTTGACACTTGATACACACCTCGCTCTCTCTAACGACGATGTCGATGCAAAGTAAGAAGGCGACGCTAATATCGCGTGTACAAATATTTCTCAGACTTTACACTGTATAATACATACGCGTTACATTGAACGCGCGTTTGTCATCACGTTTCCATTTTATTCGTTTCTCAAAGATTCTTGCGAGACTCGCGTCGAAGAGATTTAAATCGTTCCATCGACCTGCAGATTTTTATCAAATAGTTTGTGTGCCTTACGCTTACGCTCGAATAAAAATAAATATCTTCGATTGTGTTCCTAGAAAAATCGTCGCGAGCTATGTATAATATACACAATCACATGTATACTTATTCAGTTAGATTATTAAGTATTCTTATTATACGCCCGTCTGTGTTCCCGGTTCTGGGTGTCTGCGTATATGTATACGTGTGTATGTATATATATGCGAGAACAGTCTCTCTCTTATTCTGTAAATTCGAACTTTAGTCGTGTCCTGACGCATCGCGATATCTTCCAGTTCGGTGCGCTCGTGATAAGCATCGTCCGAGTTTCACATACCGGCGGCGCTTAAGAATCCTTAACGGCTAAGATCGGTGACTCGAGTATCCGTAGAAATGGATATATATTTTACATCGTCGTACGCCCTCCAACTTTAAGATCTACATTTTACGATTAAAAGATCTCGAGAAGATCTCACCTCTCGGAAAGATCGCAAATGTTCTTCGAGTCTTCGCGGGGAAGGAGAGATCTCTCCTCTTTTACTCCTTTTCCTCTTTCGAAAGAAGAAAATCGAAGGGACTCTGTGGGATCGCGATGGGAGTACTTGCGATGTTCGTTCGCTCCTACGCGAAACGTCTTACGCGGGAATTAAGGGACAATTAGTACGCGACTGAATCGATCCACGTAATTACAAATTTCCTTCTAATAGCATTTTATCGATTTATAGTTCTAATAGTCTCTATTATATACAGTTAATTACTTTATTCTACTTATTTTGCTTTCGAATATGACTTATTTGAAAAAATGTATGTTGGAATTTATACACAGTACGCCTTGATTTATCTGACCGAAAGATCGTCCTCATTCTGTACATACATATACACATACATTCACAGTAAAAAAATTTGTGTTAAATTAACACATTTCACATGTTCCAAACGGTCCACTCAAATTTTTGTGTTAATTTAACATAACAACACAATGCATGTGAATATGTCAAATTATGAGACAAATATTATATCCATAATTTAACACAAAATAAAGAAAAGTTTGATAATATGTGAACGAAAATTTTATGTACAACAAACATCTATATAATGTTAAAGATAAATGAAAAACATGTTAATTTAACATTTTTGTATGTACAATAGACATCTGTATAATGTTAAATATAAATAAAAAAAAATTTTTTTTAACAAAACTACATTATTTTTATGTTAATCTTACGATTAAATGTAAAATGTGTTATTTTAACATTTAATTTACTTAAATATGAATTTAACACAAAAAATTACATAATATAAACAAAATTAGTTAAATTAACACATAAGTATGTTACATTTTTAACACAAAAATTTTAACAAAGTCCATTTTTAACAAAAATACACAAAATTTTTTACTGTGTAGGTATATATATTATATATACTATTATATAAAATATGTAACATTATTTAATATATATAATTATATATATTATATTATATATAAGATTAATTCAATTATATGTACTAATACATATATGACAGATTTTTCATTGAATTTGGATGATTCTTTGCAAAAAATAACGATAGAAGATTCCTATTTTGTCCTTTAATCTTTTGTGCCAGATAAATAAAGGCAAGAAGAGTGAATATATGTAACGTATTATACTATTCTATTTTTATATATTATTTAAGCCTTTCTAAGAGAGTCTCTTAAGAGCGACGAACAACGCTAGTCCCGTCGCGATCCCAAACAATACAAGTATGCGTGATCTTCGTCGGAAAGAGAGGGAGAGAGAGATAAGAAGAGATTGCGGAATATCGATGGTTCGCACGTGTTATCAGTCGCAGAAATCGATCGGCGCGGTGGGGGAGACCGGCCGTCGTCTCGGGGTCGAAGACGAAGCATATTGTATGTAAAAGATCAATGAAGTAGAGGAATATTATATTGGCAGTGTTACAGTGTACAACAAACGCGACAGACAGAAAGTCGAAGCCGGGACGTACGTTTGAGAGTTTTATCCTCCGAGGGCGAGACTCTCGACGGTGATGATATCTAGTCTAGCATAGAATTGAAAGAGCGACTTTCAACGACCGTTCGTTCAAGAGTTTTATCTTTCGAGAGAGTCTCGATGGAGATATCCCGTTTGAAAACTTTACTCTCCGAGAGCCGACCTTCGCCCCTCGATGGTAAATTTCTCAAGTACAACCTAAGAACAGGACGAAAAAAAACATATGTATATATGAGCGCCGGTGGACCGTCGTCCTGATAATTTAGAATCAACACTGAAAGCATCGGATATTTACATGTTGAAAGTATCGCGAATTCAAACGATATCCCTAATAACATAGTATACGCCTACTTTTTACCAACGTAAAAATTTATTCTAGACGAACAATATTTTCAAACTCTCTTGCGTTTCAATCTCGATCCTTTCGTTGCCGAAATTACTGACACGCGAATACGAAAGAGTAAAAAGCGGTCTCTCGTTAGGTATTGATAAAATTACTTGATAATTTTGATAACTATCAAACTGTCGGAAATAAATGATCGCACGTGTCGTGGCAACAAAAGAATCAAAAAGATATAAAGACGCTCATTCGTTTATATAAATTATATACGATAAAAAGTATTTCGCAATATAATATATCCAATAAAATATATTTTAATAAAATATACTTGTTTTTTTTTTGGCGCTCATAAGAGAAGAGTTAATAATTATCTCTTAAACGAGATTACTTCTCACGCTAGAGTACAAAAGCTGATTGTATAAAAAAGTAAATTCGACAATAAATAATAATCAGATCTACATTACCGTTGACGGAAAATTATTTCTTAAAAACGCGGCCAACAATTACAAATTTATTTCTAATCGTTACATAATAATCGATTGATTGTGTTGTGTGCTATCTAGTCCTCTACGTGCGCAATAACGATTTTATTCATATCTATAGAGCTTTCTTTGGTACGAAAAATATATTTGAGATAGAATGCGCATTTTATCGCTTAAAAGGGAGCGATTCTAATTTATAATATATATGTATATACGCCTCTCCTGACCGTCGTTTTTATATAAATTAATATTTTAAACGATATAAAGACAAAGAGTTATGAGTATTAAATGTCATAATAAAATGCATTGTATTTGCGCTAATTCAAGTAATAACAAATCGTCGTTTATAATTCGCCCTCTCAAATATGCACCAATTACATAAATACAATGCCATACATACATATGATAAATATATATGTATATATGTATGTACATACACGCACGTACATTACGCAATAAAAAAAAGCTTAATTATTGTAACACAAGTTAACATATTTATAGAAGAAATATGTAATATATGTATCTATGTGTATGAATTTTACGGCAATGACTCCCTTTTCTCATGTTACCATGAAAGTTTCGAGAAGAAAAAGACTGGTTTCTTAATATAAACACATTTCACGCGCGCATGAATCGGAGTGCGCTGGAACTTTCTCTATGCACTTGTCTATGCGTTATCTCTCGCTAATAAAATATACAAAATTTGTGGAGTTTTCGCGTTGCAAGTTATTTCCTCGTATTTAAAACGGTAAGAAGTAAAGTATAAATTTACTATAAAAAAATGGAAGTATGCGATATTCATCACTAATTTAATTTACTCCGCGACACAAGTATGTAAGAATACAAACGTAATACAAGCAGAGGCTTGTAAATTCTTAAAAAAAAAAAGGTAAAAAACATGCGAATCTCGTAAACATATTAGTTAAATGCTCAGAAAGACAGTCATGCAACCAACGTGCGAGACAACTGGCACCGTTACTTGCTCCATGAAACAAAAATGAGATTTCAAATGAGATTCTTATTACAATGACCACGTTAAATTCTTTCCGTTTTTCGCTTGCTATGGCAAAAAGCTCGAGCATGACTGACGAATTATTAAAAATTTGTAATTAAATTACGCCGTTAATTGGTGTCAATATTAAATTCCGCAAATTTTCAGTCGTACGACAAAAATTAATTGCACAATCACAGTGAATAGAGGTAACAAAGTAAAAATACTTGCTCCTGCAAATGATTCTAACTGACCAAAGTTTGTTTCGACAAATAATCTGCATTTACACCAAAGAAAGAAAGACTGATTTGGCACAACATTCTAATAATCTAATGTAAAATGCGCACAAGACTGGATACGCGATTTGTACCTTCCTTAAATCTGTACCGGCTCTGCAATTGTTATCTCTACTCACTTCGATCGATTTAGAATATAAATTTTACACAATACAAATGGATGCATAAATAGTGAATTCTTTGACGTACTCACTGCCTTCCCGTCCACTCGTACGCCTTTCTATCTTCACTATTAACGATCAATTTCTTTTCATACAAATCCGACAAAAATACAGCCTATTTATAGCTTATGTCGAAGCGTTGTACTTCTTCGAATTTAATCATTTCATCAGTAACATTAGATTCTTTTAATAACTCTTTCATGGCATTTACAAAGTTTTTTATCCACTGCACTGTAGAAATTATGCCAAAGAAACAATAAAAATATAAGAACTTAAAATAAAAGCTATTTAATTTTTTCAGATTTAAGCGGCATTTTATTTCATAAATTTCTAAATTTTTATCGTAGTTTTCTTACATGTTTTTTTTATATTTACGATAATTAAATATATATATATATATATATATATATATATATATATATATAAAATTAAATATATCCTAAATTATAAATAATTTTTTTCTAAAACAGATGCAGCGAATAAAAGCTTTTCGAATATGCACGAGACCAGTTTATTCACGCGACCAACACATCGTATTGTAACATCTTCGACAAAAACGATCATCTAACCATCTATACAACACTGTACACCGTTAATCGAGATCTTTAAAAGGAACTCGATTACGTTTCCGAATGTTAGCCGAGTGATCAATCACGTCTCTTTCGATGCATGAAAACATATCATGCAGCTCGAGTCTAAAAAGAAATTGTTACTTACCATGATTAGCGAACGTAACCGGTCGGAGCAGTCCATTCGCTCCTCGGCTAAAGGCGTTTCCTTCTACTCGATAAGGAAAGCATATATCTATATCTAGTGTTACACGCTCAACCGACTCTTCGGATAAAATAACCGAATTGTTCGATTCACCGATCAGTCGCGCGTCAACGAGTAAAATTTTCGCGTATGTTCTCCGTTTTCATCTCAGCGCGATTATCGTTCGCACTTCTTTCACTACGTGAAAGTTCGAAGATAAATTGTCCTGCCGTATCAAGCGCGGGCAAGATCACAGAAACAACTCTAAGGCTTATCATAGTCACATCCTATCGTGATATCTCGTCGATTTACCGCTAAATGCAAGTAGAGTCCGGATGTTGGCTGGCGGACTTCCTTGTCTTCTTCGGCTCCTTCGTCGTTAATTCCTGAGATGGTCTGCGCGGACTGCCTAGCGTCACCAAAGCGGATGCCACGGCTAGGCCAGCGCTCTGTCCGGCTGGCGTATAAGGCTCGCCGCCAGTCGGCAATCTGACTAGCAGAGACAGAACTGCCGCTCTGTTGCCACAACAAGGCTCCAGTGCGATCGGACTAGGAGCATCCTATACGAAAATAACATATCCGATAAAAATATAAGCCTTAATTGAATTATGATACTCTAGTTGCAAGATGTAAGAATTCACGTAACAGCAAAAATAAAATATCTAAATTTCTTAAAAAATGTGTAAGAATCTTCTATGGGAAAATTTACCTTCTCCTTACCACAAAATCATTTAATGTTAAACGTGTAATTAAATGTGTTTAATTAGAAATAAGTGCAGAGTTACATATGTCATTAAGAATATGTAAACATATCTAAGAATATGTAAAAATATCTAAACAAAACATTTACGTTTACCTTCTTTTTTTTACGACAATTCGTAAAGTCGGCATCACCGCGTTCTGGATCCGAGCTGTCAACGTCGCGCCTCTCGATCTCCACCAGAACTTGACTGAACGCCCTGCTGGCCATTTGTTCCATTTCCAGGAAGAGCCTTTGTCTTCGTCGATACATGTCGTATTTTTGCTTGATCTTCCAAAGGATGGCGGCCACCAGTAGCAGAGCAAGGAAGCACCTGTGCGGTGGCATGTAATCTCTAGTTTACAAGTAAGTACTGCCTGAGGTTCAACATGGCAAAGAGAGTATAGAAAACTTAGAAAAAATAAAGCGTACCAATAGATCTGTCATATCTTAAGATTATTCTTCGCACATTGCACTTATACATTTAACAGAATTTTAATTCGCTTTATTTTGGATTAAAAAATCACTTGGAAGTCCAAGTTATGGTACTCACGTGCAGAATGTAATAAAAAACTGCTGCAGATTCAGTTTCGAATATTGGGAGAACGAGATCTGGATCCACAGTGGCGGTTGAAAGTCATAGACATACACGTAGAACGTAGTGAGAGTATTATTATCTTCGCTACCGAAATTGTAGTCCGCTTTGCTGAAACGTTGCTTGTACATGGTCGTCGTACAATTTGCGCCGAGCAGCAGCGGTTTTTCTGGACTATTTACTTTCTTGATGGTCACGTTCATCTTGGCAAGCACGGAACACGTGATAGAGAATTCGGCATCAATGTCGGCTTTCGGTGGTGAATTTTTGAAGTTGATCGCCCGATAGTGACGATCCTCTTTCTTGCTTAGATTAAACGTAAATTGGTAATCGATAGCCAAATCATCTAAAACACGAATACATGAGCGGATGAAATAATTTTATAATAAGGTATAAAATAAACTACTAAAGTATAAGATAAAAAAGTATATTCCATCAATTAAACTCACAAAAACAAGATCCTTTATTCGTAGGATCTCCGTGATAAAGACCAGATACGTCACAACGCTCGCAGTGATCGCCGATAATGCCTTTAGTTGTACAAAAACATTTGCCCGTCTCGCTCGTGCATTGAGTGCCTTGATTGTTACAGGAGCAAGCTATAATAAGAGCACACAAATGTCATTCAAATGTCTTCTTGTTTGCGAATAATAATGACATAGCATGTGGAAAAAAGATATTACGTACGCTGACACGTAGCTCCATTGAGTGGACTACCATAATAGCCGGGAATACACTTATCGCAGTGTGGTCCATAAGTCAAGTTTCCGCATGGCTGAATGCATACGCTACTGTTTGGAAGACACTTACTGTGACCGTTACACTGACAAGCTGTGAAAATCAAGGAAGTCGAATCAATAATTGTGATAAGGCGACATAAAGGGAGCTGAGATTCAACAAAAAAAAACTTGCTTACTTGGACATGTTGTGAAGTACCAATGATCGAGGAAACACGTGTTTGAACTTTTGCTGCTAGGGCCACGAGCTCCACCAGGCATGCACGAACCTTTCCCGGTGCCCGATCCGTCGTCGCACCAGCCGCAACCGGGGTCCGATCGGCAAGCGGCGCATGATGAATAAAAGCTGCACCATTCTCTGCCAGTCTCCGTGGCGCGGCACCGGGCATCTATCGTCGTCCACTCGCGACACTGTCCATATGGAAAACTGGCCGGGTACGCATTCTTCTCTACGCATTTGGCCTCGTTTTGACACCAGATGCAGTCAGATTCCGTGCAATTGCGGCACGACGTGTACTCCACGCATGGACTGCGGCATGTGTCCATAGTCAAAAGCTGCCCATGCAGTACATTATGTCCCGGGATCGTGCTGTTGAACACTCTCTATTTAAAAAATTAATTGTCAATCGTTAATTTCTTGCAAGCTGGGATTGTCATGAGAAATATATCAAATATTGCATCTTCGTTAAATATACTTCACTAGAATATATGCTTATAATTATTTACTATGTGTTTAACGTTTCGAAATAAGATATTTGTGAATATATGAATATTCCATGTTTCGTACCCCCCCCTCCAATCCTGTATAATAGTGTTAAATAAAGTGTTAAAATAGTCTCATACACACCTCTCGAGTTTTCGGCTTGCAACGGTCGGGTCCGTTAGACCATGACCAAGTGCAATGCGGATTGCTGAAGCAAGCATGGCATGTATGCAGTTGTAAACACTCGATGCCGGTTTTCATGTTACACTGATTCAGTTCCGTAATGGCCTTCGAATTTGGCGAGTTTACATTGTCCCGACACATCTCGTGGAAACAACTCTTGCCACACCACACGCAATTATACGAGGTCTGTACGCACGCGACGCAGTCGGTGAACAGCTTACAGAGTTCTCCATGCGATGTCATACCGCGTGGCGGCCCGACGCCCAGACATTTCAAAACTTCGTCATATTCCTTTTCGTTGAGCACGTGCTGCGGTATCTTTGTGATGTGCAGACATCGACTGTCCCGCTTATGCCACACGCACTTCACACCTATCCTGGCATTCAGGCACTGATTCTGATTCGTGAAATACTCGCAATTGCCGGGGGTATACCTACACAATAACAATATCTCAGATAAGCGGATAAATAAACATCTTTTTCCATTTAAAACAAGATATATTAGATTGGTACCTCAGCATGTCAGAGAGCATTTCACCGTCAAAGCCGCCGTAGATATACATCGACTTTTCGAAGACGGTCGCGCTATGACCGTATCGCGGAAGATCGTTCATATCCTTGGGCATGGTGTACTGGTGCCACGTGTCGCACGTGACATCATAACCGAGGGTATCAGCCGAGTAGCATCGCGCCCCGTGCGATTGCTGCGTATCGTTGTGCATATTACCGCCAAACACCAACATTAGTCCACTCGTGACAAAAGTGGCCGTATGAAAGAAACGCGCCGATGGCGCTGACGTAAGCAGCCGCCACTCGTAATCATTAGGATGATACGAGTACAGCCGGCTGGTCAAAACATGCGTGCTTTGTGACTCCGACACATAACCACCATACACATAAATGAGATTTGTGAGGGGATCGTAAGCGGAACTGTGCCCGTAGCCGCCCTTCACTGGAAAGCCCTTCGTCTCTACGATCTGCCACTCGCGCGTACCCAAAGAGTACTCCTGGACGGTGTTTAAGTAACCATATTGCGGCGAATAGCCGAATATCACAATCATCTTCTCCTTCTTGTCATAATTCTGCACCCGAGTCGCGGTATGTCCTGCTACCTGTAAAAACGATTTGTTAAAACAATCGAGATATTGTACGAGACTCAACTAAGAGTTAAAAAATAAGAGTGAATAACATTAGATTATATATATATATATATATATATATATATATATATATATATATAACGCTATTTAAAAAATTTCCAGCAATTAGTAGTTTAGGATTGTTAAATCGAGATTATATCGACCATAATAAACATAATTTGTTATTTTATAAATTAATTTTGTAATTAATTCTTGGCTGGCGACGATTCTTGAATCATTTGAAATTCGGTATTTTCAAAGATTACTCATACATCTCCTTTACATTGCAAGGGCGTAAAAAATTAAACTCAAAAACCCGCCACTTTTTACTGCTGTTTTGAACTATATTTATACTTTATGCCCAAGGCGAATTTTTTATTATCTAATAGAATACGGAAAGAATGACCCAGCCACAGTTCTCCAAAGCGTATACATCTTCAGGCAAGCGGTTTAAATATATCATTATATTCTTCGGATTAAATAAATATACGCACCTTCAGTGGGCCACATATCGTTTTGTTGTAGCAATCATCGTCGTGTACAGTGACGTTCTCCCAGACCTTGGCGGACACGTCGAACGCCCAGATCTCATTGGTCACCGTAGAGTTCTGCACGACACCACCGTACATGAATATCTTGTCGCCGAACAGCACACACGAGTGCGCGTACCGCGGTAACGGCACTCGGCCCTCGACGTGAGGTGTCTCCCAAACATTGCCGTTATAATCGTACACATATATCATCTTGGCACGATGGAAACTCTCGCCGCCGACCACGTACAGTGAATCCTTCCAAACGATGGAACAGTGACTGGCCGAGCCTTCCGGCGGTAGATCCTTGTACGTGACACTCTCCCAAAATCCATGGTCGCCTCTTTGGCTACAGTCCGCACCTGCGAAAATCGTGCGTAAATAAGCCTATTTTATTTGACCTTTTTTCATTTCAACATGTATTTATTACTATACTAGACACTACAGACGCGCGCTACGCGCGCGCTATTTATCTTTAACATTTCACTATTAACCCTATTATACACAACTGTCAAAATATACAATGACAGCTGCAAATGAAGTAAGCGCAGCAAGAGAACCAATCGGCATCGCGGAAAAGCGGCAACAATAAACTTCACATCTCCTTTTTAGAAGAGGATATTTCGAGTTCAAATAGAAATAGCTCATAAAATGTTATCACTGATAATTACTCCAGATCGAAAACATACTTGTCCTGGGAAATATATTAAACAAATGTATACAAGTATATATTAAGTAAGTATTCAAAAGTATATATCACGTAATATAATAATAATAATAATAATAATAATAATACTCAATATATTAACGGATTACGTTATTATAATTATAACAGTAATAGATATGTCAGGTAATACCTAACGTCACATTCGAATATCACGATGTTTATCGATCGCATGATGCTAAATACTATTACGTCAGTACGCTGTCATCCTAGACTGAATATCTGACAGATAGCATCTCGAATGTGTTTACCAATGTATCTTAATTTTATCGCGTCGTTATATGCATTAATTTATCACAGCACATTTATCTTCCATGCACCGATCTTACTCAATAGTTACCGAAAAATGTTATAATTTATTTTATTTTCAGATACATGTAAAATGTAACTTCCAGCATTTCATTAATTATTAACTATAAGTCACCGAATCGTGTCTTCGTTATCTCTTCACCTTTAAAGCCGTGAAAACAGCGGCAATGATGACTCTCGCGGTCACACTCGCCCTGCTGATGATGATACGAGCAATTGTTCGGGCATACTTGTACGTCGCAGGCCTCACCGGTCCACGTAGCGTCGCAGGTACACGTGCCTTCAATACACACACCGTGGCCGGAACAGTCGATATTGGAATACCTACAAGAAGCAACGCACTAGTGTACACGAGATATCATTGTGTCAATCTTGTCTTCGAGGGACGCGATGCCACCACGATGATCTAACACCCTTAGGCAAATATAAATGCTTTCGTGCGCTATTTACTCGATCGCGCAATAAGTGTTTGCCTCTATTAATTTCTCAGAAAAAAAGACTGCTCTCGATATTTGAACGGTGTGGGAAGGAAAAGCAAACAATTCTGGAAAAGTGTGCGTCGTGACGCACGGTAGCTCGGATGATGGATCGTTTGACGGAACTGTTTGACGGAGTCAGATTTTCCTAGACTTTATAAAAGGTATAAGACAATATCGAGAGAGGAGGAAATTACCCTCCGTTCCCCATGTATCATGTCTAAAATCGAAGCAAAACGACCAGCAAAACATGGCCAAATGATAGCTGTGCGTCTCAAAAATGAGATTGCCCGCTCTCTTCCGGATAAAATCTCAAGTTTTCTTTTTGCCAAAAGTCGTCTTCTGACCGTAGGTAATGTTATCAAATGTGACGCAGATAGGGTTACGCGTATTTCCGGCCCGCAGAGGAAGCTCGATAAAGTTTCTAAGCCGACAGCGACCCAATTACGAATTATCGGCGGTTGCCACTCTCCATGTAATCTCCTCTCGTTCTATTCTGAGTCTCTCAGATTGACCGCTACCTTGCCCGACTATGAAATCCACGTCTTTCTTTTTCAATAGATGCGCGCGAAGCGAATTTATATTCGCATCATTTATATTCGGTAAAATACCGCTGCAAATCACACGAATAATCCATCGTGTGTCAGATTATACTTCTACTCGCTAAAAGCCACTGCGTGATAGTCGCTCGTGTTTTAGGGTCAGCTGACGTGTTACAGTCTATCAACTTGTGCCATAATCTTATGGATAACTCCGTAAAACGACCCGTTTCATTTTTCTCCATCACGCGAGAGCCGTTTTACCAAGAAAGATATCAACCATGTATCAATAGCTACCTGTATCTTCAACACACTGATTTAAAATATTTAGCAAACGCATTGAACCGTTTCTTAGTATAGTTTTCCAACGATAGTAAAATTCTAAATATAAATTGGCGAATGTATGTTAAAAAATAAGCGGTTGAGAGAGCTAAAAAGAAGATAGAGTACTGGGAGAAAAGTTAGGGAGACCGCAGCCATCAGCGTCGCGCTCACCTGCTCGGACAAGCGTTGATTTTATATGTAATGTTGAAGCCGCTCATGTTGTACGCGACATCGGAATAAAAGTGCAGCAACGCGCTACCGGATCGCGCTATTACTTCCGGCACGCGGCGTATGTGATAGCTATCCTTGTGCATCAGGCCGGAGAAAACGGCCAGCAACGGCGCCTCGACGCTATCACCGTCGTAGATGTACAGATGGTCCCAGCCGCATTCCGTCGCGAATTGTTCTACGTGCATCCGTATTTTTGTGTTCGGGCTGCTCTCGATCAGCCAGGAGCATCTCACGTCCGCAGTATAGTTGCCTGTGCCATCATGGATGCTCCCGATCCTCTCTGATAATCTGCGGGAAGGACAAGACATGATTATGAGCTATAATTTCGAAGCGAGCGTTAGATTTTACGGTAAATTATTTTGCATCATTTGGCGAAGCGTGGATAGACTTTTGATACGGCTTTGATAACGTGATGTGCAACGCGATAAATTAGCATCTTCTCGATACTGAGAAGCAATAGATAATAGAGACAGGATATTTACGTAAAGAATAAAGAAAAATGTTACGAAATAATCATGTTTACGCTACTATAATGAAAAGAGAAGATGCATTAACATAAGATGGTAATATGACAATATTTGGATATACTTGATAATAAAAATCAAACTTATTTTTTGTTTCTTCTCAATGCGATAAATTAGCATCTTATTGATTATACTGACAATGATAAGCAATGAATAGAGACGGAATGTTCACGTAAAGAATGAAGAAAAAGGCTATATCACAAAGTATGATAACCACTGTTTATGCTGCTATGATGAAAAAAGAAGATGCATTATCTAACACAAAATGGTAATACGACAATATACGATAATGAAAATCAAACTTACTTCTTGTTTCTTTGTTAACTTCTTTTACGTAATATCATCAGAAATAACATTGATTTTTATATTAACGTATATTGTCACATCACTATATATATACACACACATATATATATAGATATATATTTGTCTATTATAATCGTTTGCTGTTTCATAAACAATATATATATAGTTTATCGATTGATTGCACAAAGTATATGATTTTTACCGATTTTAACGATATAAAATTGTACGCGCGTTAAATGTGCCTACGTTAACAGTTAAAAATAACTCTAGTTGTAAATAAGTTATAAATGTAAGCGATACGAAGGAGAGAAATGTATTTCGTAAAATGCGTTGAGCGCAAAGTTCAACATTGAAGTATGTATCGTTAAAATCGTGATATTTCATGAATGTTTTTTTAAGAGGAAGCGTGTAGGTGTTTTTGTGGTCCTAAATGTAAATTATTAGAGTCTTCTCTCCTTCTCTCTCTCTCATTCCATTTTTGTTTATAGTGCGTAATAAAATTAAAATTAATTCGATCAAACGCGAATAATGGAGCATAATCCGAATAATTATAATCCGAGCGGTCGCACATACATCGTTGCGTCGTGTTGCATCAATATACAGATCGGGCGGATGCAACGGGCGCGACACGGAAGAGCAACGTCAAACGGGTACATCATCGTCAACGAGATCCTAACACGCTAACTTCATTAATTACTCCCTTTTTATATATATATATATCCCTATTCGCTCCAACCATGCCTTTCGTGTCCCACGAATTTCTAACAGTCGTTTGTTCCGGAAAACAAATGATCGTGGGAGAATCCCCTCCACGCCGGAAAAAAGTTATTGTGGCAGGGAACCTCAGGGTCCTCAGGTAAAAATTTCAAAGTCCTAGCTCATTTACTCTCGAAACGGCGAACAATCAAAATCTCGGTGGGACACGAAAGTGCATGGTTGGAGGATTACGTCAGCATTGTGTGAAAGGTAAATTAGCATTTTTTTCGATAAAAATGTATTTTTGTGTATAATTTAACCATATTTAAAATATTTTTGTCGTTAAAAAAAAAATTTAACATTCCACAGAGGTCTATTATGGCTCAGAAGC